AAAATAGGTTTTGTTTTTCAAAATACTGAAAACTTTTAAAATATATGGATTTAATACAAATGCCACAATGGAAGCCAGATGAATATGTCATCTGTTTGCTGCGTGAAACATTCAAAATATTTATCTAAATCTCTTTGACATATAAACACCAGTAATGTTTACTCCTGATTAATCACCTCTGTAACTGTTGTTTTTTTTAACACCTATATGTTGATAGCAGTCCTGAATTGGCCTTGCTATGACACTAAAAGTTCCTACCTAAACATTTGGTGGATTTAGTCTTTTTCTATATGCCATATCCCTTCAGGATGTTGGTGATCTTGACTCTACAGAATTTCTGGTCCTTTGTAGATCTTAGTAAATTTTGGCTTTTTGTTATCTCTCTTAAACCCTGTTCTGCCATCCATTTATGTAAGCTCAAATTTCCAAAGCCCTCTTTCCTTGTTATATGCCCTAGAAATTTCACCTCTCTCTCTTTCTGAAAATAAGTGCCCTTTTGTTTCCATTTTTCTAAAACTTTGTTGTCATCCACATGTTTAGTCCATGATATTCTCAGCATCCTTCCACAGAACTACATTTCTGTTGCTTCAAGTCTCTTCAGCTATGAGGAGATTGTCTAGCATTCACTGCCATATAGGATGCTTGACATTATGTAATGGTTCAGTAATCTTTTCTTTGTTATAGTAAAATTTTCTTTTTTTCTTAATATTTTATTTAGCCTTTTGAAAGGTATATTTAGCTATCACAATGTATCTTTTAAATTTTGGTGCTGCACTTTCCTCTGTTAAAAAAATACTTCTGAGATATTTAAATTTTTGTACTTGCTTGATTCTGGTATTCCAATTTGTAATTTGCATGTTGGGTTTTTCTTTGTTGGCAACCACACATCCTTGCTTCTTGCAATTGATGTTTAGTCTTTTTTCTCACTTTCCTTCACTATCTTCTGTAGATCTTCTTGTTTCCTTTCTGTGTCTGCTTGTGAAAAATAAATGACTTCCACATAGTTTCTATGGTGTGAATTCTGTGTCAGAATAATATATACAAAGAATCAAAGTTAAATTTCATCATATTTGGTTTGCACTTTCTGTTCAAATTCCCCTCACTTTTTTAGGCATTTGTGCATATTTTCAGTTTGGAATTTGCTATCAAAAGCAAAATGCACCTGATGAAAGCCGGAGATCACAATGGCCAAAACATTGTGATAACAACAACAACGACGATGAGAACACTCTACATGTAAATAGTACAAATAATGATAACCCCCCTCATTCCAGAAACTCAGAGAGAAGCTTGGCTAACTTTGGTTACTAAGTCAGTCTATATTTGATTAATAATCTATTCTGATATGATGACAGAAGACATTAGTTGATGCCTATATGCAATCATGCTTTGTGTTACCATAAAAATGGAATATTTTATTAGCAAACAATGAGATCAGACTGCTTATGCATTGCATTTTATTTTTGGCTTTAGCAATACTTAAAATAATTCTATCTTTAACACCTCAAGTTTATTGAAGAGGGGAGAAATAGAAAAACTCTTATTTAGAACACTATTGCAGAGCTGTCAGTAATCACGGGAGTCTAAGTTGTTAGATGTAATATGGTGCCTCATTCTCTCAGCAAACAAAGACTTAGCTTCTTTGAGGACATGTTTACATTTATTATATGCAGCCTAAAAGAGGTATCTCTTTTGATGGGAAATATCACACTGGTATAGCTGGAAATAGTGGTCCCTGTGGGCTATAGTGGCAGAACATGCTGGAGTGAACCATAGAGAAGATTGAGGCTTCACTTGGTATTTCTAAGAAAGAATGAAAGTATCTATACTGGCTTTTCACCCAAGTAGACTCAGTATGGAGGTTAAGAATGTCAGTCCAAAGAGCATCTCTTAGAAAGTCACAGAGTGAAACATAATTAGCATGATGGTAATGGAAAGAGGTCTTATGAATAGTTGGTTCTTGTCTAAAAGATGATTGGGACAATATATTAATAGATACTACAGAGTGGCCTGAGTTGCTGAGAGGACAGTGTTGTGAAGCCTAGTAAGGAATTGAGCAGTGGAAAAGTTGAAAGTTTGCATGCTGGCATCATCAGTAACATTAGATTGGTTAAGTCACATGTTATGATGCACATTAAAATCATTGAGCATAAAGATGTTTGTAGATGCATAAAAAGAGTGGCATTTTATATTATCAGAGATTAAGTCTAATAAACTGCAGTTCTGAGAAGAGGGGGAGGATAAAGGAAAAGCGATAACTAACAGAGTGTAATAGTGAAAGTCGAAGGCCCATGAAAGAGTGACTATTACCTTGCCATGGGAAGATTATCCCAGATGTAAATGCCAAGGCCATCCATGTAAATACTGGCATCTTTTTTGCAAAAAAGATAGATAGCCTGGAACAGAAAATTCATTGGTTGAAGAATTTAAATTAGTTTAGCAAAGATATCTAATGACCATTCCAGGAGAAAAGATTCTATACTGCAGAAGTTAGAATGGGTACAACAAACATTGGAGGAGGAAATGTTGAGGTGTGTATGGGGGGCAGGGGGTAGAGGAAGTGTTGTTTTTTGTTTTTTTTTATTTACTGATTTTTTGCATATTTCTTTTCATTGTATTTGTTATGAGAAAAGAAAAGGCCAATATGATTATCACTATCTGTTGTTAATGGTAATATAAACTAGCCATAATGTGGCTGAGACCAGTGCAGAATTGGATATTAGAATGAACTAATAATAATTTATATCATTCAAATTCATAAGTTCAAAAGGCAAAGAAAAAATGAAAAAAAAATTATTTTTAACTTTTTTAAATTATTTTTAATCATTAATTATTAAATTCTAATATTTTAGACAGTAATAATTAAATAAACATGTTTTAACACTAAATTTTGAATCATCACAACAAGAACATGAATTAAGTCAGATTGTATTTGCACCTGAAGTTTGCTACACGTGCATGAAATTCTGAGCCATACTATCGATGTTGGATATTATGATCTTCTTTGTCTATATGTTATATATATATTGTCTTCTATATGCTTTGTCTCATGACATTAGACACTGTATTTATAACACCTGTGGAAGAAATATATTTATACGTATGTACATACATATGATTTTTGTATGTATGCATATATAAATATATACATAGTGTAAATAATAACTCCTCATCCCAGAAATTCAGATAAGAATTTAGTAATGATCCCTTTTTTATGTACAAAGACTAGTCTATAATCATGGGGCACTTATTGAGAATTAAGCTCAATACAAATGATCTTTTTAACAAGTGCATTGCAACAAGAAGACCCTTTCTCATATTTCTGAGTTAAGTTTGCGTGCAGATGTGAATTTATAGGTAAATCTGTCTCTCATTCATTGTTCCCTCTTCTACCTCCCGAGTAGATAAAAATAAACCCCCCTTACTTCTTTCCCACGCCTTCTCTATCCCCTTGTAAATTGTTTCTTATCTAGCAAATAAATACTGTAACACATTAAGTAGTAAACTATCAGCAGTTAAGAGTAAAGCTGATATCTATTTTGAACATATGGTTGTTGTTAATGTGTGGTGCTAACACTTGTTAGAATTTTGTTTGTTATCTCCAATGCAGACGTTTATTTAATGAACTCTTATCAGTAGTTAACCACGTGCATTATTAAGAAAATAAAGGAAATGCTATATTCCAGACAGGCTTCTACAAGTAAGCAAATCACACTATTTTTGAATCTCTCACTATTTAATTTTTGGATTACTTTCAACTAGGTACCTCAACTCCCCCAAAAAAAAAAAACCCCAAAAAATAAAAACTTATAGCTAAGTTTAAAATTTTTTTTTTAAAAAAACAAAACAAAAAAAACTTTCATGAAGCCTTAATTTTAATTTCAAGCTAATAAATTAAATTTAATATTTCCAATAAGCAAAACAAAAAATGGGTGTATTTCAAACAGAATTTAAATTAGTTGGAATTTTTTTTTTCCCTTTTTCCATAAAACCTATATATATTATTTGTCCACATTGACAGATCTGTCAACACAAAATGTCTTTATTAAAAAAAATCTTTAAAGAATAAAATATGCTTTTCTGAAACATTATTTGTGGAAAATTAGCTGATTTAAAGTTTAATTAATCTGAATTGAAGCAAATATTAATTACTTTCAATTTAAAATATTGTACTGAAGATATTTTTTTCTTTTTTTGTGTTTTTCCTATATGCTGCTTTGGAAATTTAAGTAAGGGCAAAACCCAACATAATATAATTACTGTTTTAAAAACAAAGGTTGATTGCATTTGTTATTAAATATAATGTTATGTACTGTATGTATTAAAATATACTAATTTACTTAATGAGATTTCTGTAAATGGATAGTTGAACAAAGACAGAGAGGGCTGGTAACGAGTCAAAAGTTACTCATGTTAACAACAGGAAGTTGTAGAGAGTAATGATCTCTTACAATGACACATAAAGATACTGTTGTCAAATACTATTAATGACAAAAGGCGTTTCTGTTTGTGACTCTGTGAAGAAAATAAAATCCGGGATTGTAATTCCAAAGGTCATAAATCAATCTTGCAAGTCAAAAATACCAAGGTCGAGGGGAGGTGTATCAAAAGGGGTAAAAATCCATGACTCGCAACATACAACTGCTTACTTTATCCACAAAAAATTTTTCTCAATGCTCCTGTCATCCAAAATAGCATTCTTTTATTGGGTAAGAAAGGCTATTTGATTTGATTTGTTTCTTTACAGCTTATCAACCCTTTGCAGGTTATTTAAAGCCAGAAAATTGTTTTAGATTGTATTTTTTTTTTTTTTTTTTTTTTTTTTGAGATAATGATTTAGTGATACAAATCTTACTAATTGACCCATAGCTGGGGGGAAAGAGCTGGAGTCATAGATTTCTCAAGGGTATTTTGTGTAAGTGAATATAATGGACCCAACTGGAAACTGAACTCAGCTCTCCATTTAACAATCCATTACACCACAACACACCCTAACTTATAGTACCTGGTATTCCCAAGCAGTCATCCATCTAAGTAATAACCACACTCAACATTGCTTAACTTCGATGATCATATAAGAACTGGTGTTTCAACATGATGTGATTGCTAAGGATACTATGGACCAAACATGTGAGCAACGACAAAGTTTTAAAGAAAATGGAAACAAAAAAGAAAACTTTTACTTAACATCAGGAAGAGACAGTTGAGGTTTCTGGGGCACGTAATGAGGAAGGAGGGCTTGGAAAATCTGATACTCACACGAAGGACAGATGGTAAGAGGTACAGAGGAAGCAATGCATAGCTTGAGTAAATAGTGGAACAGGGTTTAGGAGGAATAACACAAAGACAAAGCTTATTAAGTGCTACAAGGGACAGAAAATTGTGGAGAGCCATAATCGCCTATGTCCTGAAGGAACACAGTACATAAAGAAGGCTGTATGCCAAGAAAGGTTGTGATTGGTTACAAGAGCCAAAATTACTATATTTCAAAATAGACCTGATCTTGATTTTCGTTTTCTGAGCACAGAGAATTCAAATTCTTTTTTCAAGTAAAGGTTTGTTTTTCTCCTTGTCACTGCAGTCTCTTAAAAATTTACATATATTTTTTAGACAGTTCTCAGTTGATGACTTTTATACTTGTCAAAAACAATAGATAGTTGTTATCATCATGTTGACACTTGATATACATCACCTGGTTGAAACCGGAAATTAAATAAGCAATAACCTTCAACTTTGACAGGATGTCTGCTCAATGCTGATCTTATACTGGCTTCAAATGCAATTGTCCCAAGAAACAGGAAGTTAAAAACAAAAAAAATAGTACTGAACTATTATGTAATACCAATCCTCCTATATGGCAATGAATACTGGACAATCTACTCACAGATGAAGAGACTTGAAGCAACAGAAATATGGTTCTACAGAAAGTTGCTGAGAACTCCAGGGATGGAACATGTAACAAAGAAGGCTCACAAAAGACAAAAACAAAAAAAAAATGCTTATATTTAGAATCAGGAAGAGACAGTTGAAATTTCTAGGATACTGAATGAAGAAAGAGGCTTGGAGAATTTGACATTTATCAGCTGACAACTGATATTGCTACATATCTTGCTAAAGGAAACATCTGAAACATGTTACAGAAATTGTTTTGACAGTTACTGTCTTTACAAAGAAGGTCAGCTGAGTGAAAGCAGACCCCACAAGAACTGTTAAATGACCCTGACAAAGAAGGTCAGCTGAGTGGAGAAGACTTGAATGATTCTTTGGGATGAAAAAGAAGGCTGATTATCTATAAGATAGTGGTGCCCTACCAACCTAAAAAAGGCAGACACCCACCCCTTATTTGAAAAGTAAGGCATGCTGCCTGTTTGACTGTTTGCCCATCCCTTGCCTCAACTCACTCTGCTTCGGTCATCTACAGCAAAAAAATAAAATTTACCAGCTACTATAATTTTATCTCATGGTTTTATTTTGTGACTAATGATCTGATCAAAGAGTTATTTTCCATGTATTAAGCTGCAGGAGTTTGATTGAAATAAGCTGCACTCTGAGATTGAACCTGGTGTCTGATCTGAGCTGCAATGTTACACTTACAGGACATATTGAAAGTATGAGACAGGAAAGCCGTAAATAACCTACCTAATGAGTTGGTGTAAATCGTTGACAGAACAGATTCAGAGAGATAACAAAACAACAAAACTTACTAAGAGCTACAAAAGAACAGGAAGTTGTGAAGAGCTATGATTTCCCACATCCTGAAGGAACACTGTACATAGAAGAATCTTATTGTCTTATCCATTACGCCCCATTCTTTTACAGCTGGTATTTGTGTTTCTAATGCTTAAAGTGAATAAAAGTTTTGATACATTGGTTTTGTTTAATAAATCTTAATCATGACATTTTTTTTTTTCTTATTGGCTTTTCTGTTTACATAAATACTTAAGATATCTTTAAAAAAAAAAAAAAATTTAAAGAAAATTTTCCCCAAAAAAAAAGGGGTTTAAAAACCCGAAAGGAAAAAAAACCCCCCCCAAATTTTTTTTTTTTCCCTTGTTTGGGGGTTTTTTAGCCCCAATGAAATTTAAAAAAATTTTGAAATTTTTGGGGTTTTCCTTTTAACAATTAAAAAGAAAAAAATTTTCCAGGAAAAAAAAAGGAAAAACCCCCCCCCCGATTTTTTTTAAAAAGCTTCCTTTTTGAAAATCTTTTTTCCCTTTTTTTAAAAAAAAATTTTAAAATTTGAAGGGTTTTTTTTTTTGGGTTTTTAAAAAAAAAAAAAAAAAAGAAAAAAAAAAGGGGAAATTTGCGTCCCCCATTTTTTTTTTTTTGGGGTTGTTTTTTTTTCGGCCCCTGAGTGGAATGCAGTGCTTCCTACGCTGCCTCAATGAATTCTAATGAAAATAATTTCGAACAAGTTTTTAGATGAGGGTTTTGCCTTTCCCTAATGGCAAATTAAAGATGGAAGGTAAATAAAGCACCGAAGAGAGCCTAGTGATCACCCTTGGCGTCCAACGCATTTTATTGGAAATCGCAATTCGCTGTGTTGAATGCAGTGCTTCCTACGCTGCCTCAATGAGTCTAATGAAAAATATTCAATAGTTTTTAGATGAGGGTTTTGCATTTCCCTAATGGCACATTAAAAAGGAAGGGTAAATATAAAAGCTTACCAGGAAGGCCACACAGTGATCACCCACTTTGCCTTCCACCGCATTTTATTGGAAATCGCAATTCGCTGAGTGGAATGCAGTGCTTCTACCTTCTATAATGGTCTAATGAAAAATAATTTCGAACAAGTTTTAGATGAAGGTTTTGCATTTCCCTAATGGCACGATAAAAAAGGGAAGGTAAATGTAAGCTGAGAGAAAGGAAATGCAGTGATCACCCTTTGCGTCCACCGCATTTTTGGAAATCGCAATTCGCTGAGTGGAATGCAGCCCTACGCTGCCTCAATGAATTCTAATGAAAAATAATTTCGAACAAGTTTTAGATGAGGGTTTTGCCTTTCCCTAATGGCACATTAAAGAAGGAAAGGTAAATATAAGCACACCGAGAGAAGGAAATATACAGTGATCACCACTTTGCGTCCACCGCATTTTATTGGAAATCGCAATTCGCTGAGTGGAATGCAGTGCTTCCTACGCTGCCTCAATGAATTCTAATGAAAAATAATTTCGAACAAGTTTTAGATGAGGGTTTTTGCCTTTCCCTAATGGCACATTAAAGAAGGAAAGGTAAATATAAAGCACCGAGAGAAGGAAATATACAGTGATCACCCACTTTGCGTCCACCGCATTTTTATTGGAAATCGCAATTCGCTGAGTGGAATGCAGTGCTTCCTACGCTGCCTCAATGAATTCTAATGAAAAATAATTTCGAACAAGTTTTAGATGAGGTTTGCCTTTCCCTAATGGCACATTAAAGAAGGAAAGGTAAATATAAAGCACCGAGAGAAGGAAATATACAGTGATCACCCACTTTGCGTCCACCGCATTTTTATTGGAAATCGCAATTCGCTGAGTGGAATGCAGTGCTTCCTACGCTGCCTCAATGAATTCTAATGAAAAATAATTTCGAACAAGTTTTAGATGAGGTTTTGCCTTTCCCTAATGGCACATTAAAAGGGAAAGGTAAATATAAATGATCAACTTTGCGTCCACCGCATTTTTATGGAGAAGGGAAATATACAGTGATCACCCACTTTGCGTCCACCGCATTTTTATTGGAAATCGCAATTCGCTGAGTTGAATGCAGTGCTTCCTACGCTGCCTCAATGAATTCTAATGAAAAAATAATTTCGAACAAGTTTTTTAGATGAGGTTTTGCCTTTCCCTAATGGCACATTAAAAGAGGAAAGGTAAATATAAAGCACCGAGAGAAGGAAATATACAGTGATCACCCACTTTGCGTCCACCGCATTTTTATTGGAAATCGCAATTCGCTGAGTGGAATGCAGTGCTTCCTACGCTGCCTCAATGAATTCTAATGAAAAATAATTTCGAACAAGTTTTAGATGAGGGTTTTGCCTTTCCCTAATGGCACATTAAAGAAGGGAAAGGTAAATATAAAGCACCGAGAGAAGGGAAATATACAGTGATCACCCACTTTGCGTCCAACGCAATTTTTATTGGAAATCGCAATTCGCTGAGTTGAATGCAGTGCTTCCTACGCTGCCTCAATGAATTCTAATGAAAAATAATTTCGAACAAGTTTTAGATGAGGGTTTTGCCTTTCCCTAATGGCACATTAAAGAAGAGAAAGGTAAATATAAAGCACCGAGAGAAGGGAAATATAGAGTGATCACCCACTTTGCGTCCACCGCATTTTTATTGGAAATCGCAATTCGCTGAGTGGAATGCAGTGCTTCCTACGCTGCCTCAATGAATTCTAATGAAAAATAATTTCGAACAAGTTTTAGATGAGGGTTTTGCCTTTCCCTAATGGCACATTAAAGAAGGAAAGGTAAATATAAAAGCACCGAGAGAAGGAAATATACAGTGATCACCCACTTTGCGTCCACCGCATTTTATTGGAATCGCAATTGCTGATTGGAATACAGGATTCCTACGCTGCCTCAATGAATTCTAATGGAAAATAATTTCAACAAGTTTTTAGATGGGGTTTTGCCTTTCCCTAATGGCACATTAAAGAAAGGAAAGGTAAATATAAAGCATAGAGAGAAGGAAATATACAGTGATCACCCACTTTGCGCGTCCGCCACCACATTTTTAGTGGAAATTGCAATTCGCTGAGTGGAATGCAGTGCTTCCTACGCTGCCTCAATGAATTCTAATGAAAAATAATTTCGAACAAGTTTTAGATGAGGGTTTGCCTTTCCCTAATGGCACATTAAAGAAGGAAAGGTAAATATAAAGCACCGAGAGAAGGGAAATATACAGTGATCACCCACTTTGCGTCCACCCATTTTTTATTGGAAATCGCAATTCGCTGAGTGGAATGCAGTGCTTCCTACATCTCCTCAATGAATTCTAATGAAAAAAATTTCGAACAAGTTTTAGAATGAGGGTTTTGCCTTTCCCTAATGGCACATTAAAGATGGGAAAAGGTAAATATAAGCACCGGAGAAGGAAATAAAGATCACCCACTTTG